GATGGGATAAAACAGTGATGTCAGAGGGAGCATCTAATGTGCTGCAAACAACAAAACATCGTGTGTAAAACGCAACAAAATGGCATAGCAAATCTTCGAAGCTTAGGGATCTCTGCTCCGATAGTCTGCATTCAGAGACAGAGCCATTTTCCTGCAGAAGGGCAAGAGAGTGGTCGACAAGTCAAAAGGGCATGTATGTATTCCTTGTCAGCAACCTTCCCTAGCAGCTATCCAGATTTGCAAGGTCATTCAGCTAGCCAAATCCTAGCAGCAGAGAATCCAGCTCTGGGTAAATGGCAATGCACTCTCAATGTAACTCAGGGATCCTCACCTCTGAGTGTATATTAGAATCATCTAGGAGCTTTGAAAATCCAAGTCTGGGCTCCGCCTCAGACCAGCTCGGTCAGAACCTGAGGTGACACAAAAGCTCCCAAGGTGAGTGTAACGTGCAACCAAGGAGACCTACAGAGCTGAAGCACTGAAGAGCAATAGCTGAATCAGCTGGCCGTCACTCCTGGCATCACTTACATCTGTCAGACAAGTTTCTAAATTTTTGTTTCATAGCTATGTGATTTCCAAGGGCCTGTTTGCTCTAGAAGCTGTCTGTGAGCACACGCATACACCCACACACACCCACACATGGTTCATGGGCACAGAAGATTCTTAGCAAACCGGAAACTAATGGTTCTTTTGACCAAAGGCCAGCCAGAAGCTGTTGGGGGTCAATGTAACCCACCTCCCTTGTGGGGTGACAGCTCTAGGCACAGACCCTGTAGCCAGTCAGTTGCTTGGACACAAGCAGCCTGCAGACTTGATTTTGACCCTGCTTTTTCAATGTTTTCAAACAGGTGGTCACTGGCCTTTTCTAAAAAGAAGCCCCTGCTACACTTACCTCTAATTCCCTATTGAGCAGTCAAAGTCATGAGGCAAAGGACTCAGAACAATAAACATGAACGCAAACCACCACCCATCTGCCTCCCTGACATCCCTGCTCAGGATGCAAAGCCAAGGTCATTTGTTTGGGGCATTATAAAGAACCACGTCCACAGAATCTTCTGCCTCTGAGCCTGCCTAACAGCAAGATGTTGCTGCATCTTTACAGGAAGACGCTATAGAGCTGTATAGTATCAGGAAGACTAAGAATGTTCTGAGTTATCTCCAGAGAAAACTTTGAGTGTTTGCTGCCCTTAACTGTCAACATTTCTTCTACCCCTCAGGTGTTCTAACTTACCTCCTCCACTGTCATTTATGTCCATCATCCATCCAGCTGCAATGACTTGTAAGACCCTGTCCCTATGCTTCAGATGAGACCTTTCCTTAGCCCCACCAGAGTTCTCATCCTTCTGAGTGATGCTCCCGGGGCTTTCCTTCTGTCAGAGGGAGTGCAACACACCCAGGAAATTTTACTCCAACCAAAGTCTCCATTCAGTGTAAATGGTGTCAGGAACACCTCAAGATGACAGAGTGACAACCAAAAGAAGAAGGGAAATCCCAACAGAAACTGAGTGGAGGTGCTGATGTCTGGATGCTGTCAGGCCGTGTTACATCCTGGAAGCCAAGGAGCCCAGTCCCAGCTCCCTCAGGGTCTCCTCTGGCCTTAACCCTGCACCCCACACGCCATTCACTAAACGGTTAATTGCACCCAGCACTGGAAAATCTCACTGCCTGGCTTTACCTCTGTTCAATTCATACTCCGGAAGGGCCCATTCATCTTTCTAGTTATAAAAATTTCTTCTAAATTGACTGAAAACACCTGGTGGGCAGAAAATTGTCTTCTATGTTTTTCCCATACCCACAGAACTCATCACAGCATCCGGCGCATAAAGGGACCCTAAAGATATTTTAGCTCTTTGCTACACCAAGTGAGAACTTCAGCCTCTCCACCTAGGGACTTGCGTGTCTGTCTCCACCCACAGCCACTGAATCAGAATGTGTACACCTAAGAACTTTCTGCTCCTACCACCCGATCGCACACTTCTCAGCCTTCAGACACAGGTCAGCGAACCGCAGCCCCTGGGCCGAATCCGGCGTGCCACCTGTTTCTGTACAGCCCACGAGTTAAGAAGGGCCTTTAAATTTTTAAACGGCTGAAAAAATTCAAGAGAATGCTATTCCTATAACACACGAAAAGTACATGAAAGTCAAATTTCGGTGTCCATAGTTTTCTTGAAATACAACCACATTCCATTTATGTACTGTCTACGGCTTCCTCCACACTTCAGTGACAGAGCTGTGTAGTTGTGACACCGACCCTATGGCCTGAAAACCTAAAAGATTTTCTATCTGGCCTTTTACAGAAAAGGTTTGCAGCCCGTTACCTTTGTACGTGCTGTCTCCTCAGCCCAGAATGCCCCTCCCTCGCTTGTCCACATGGGCAGAGTGCACGTTCCAGAGCCATCTCCTCACTAAACTCTTCCTTCCTTATGCCCTACAGAGTTAGCTCTTCCCAAAGCGGGGCGGTCACAATTGATTTCTCTGTGATTAACTTTCTTTATGGTTTTGCAGTCATTTCTTTCATGTCGGTTTCATCTCACTACTTCAGGATCTTTCAGATACACTACTGAGCAACTCTGTATCCCCGGCATATAGCAGATGCTCAATAAATATTCACCAAGACAGAAATCAATAGAGAGAGAATGTGCATTTATGGGGCACCGGGTTTATACATGGAACACACTGTGATACACATCTGTAATTAGGTACAAACATGGAGACCTATGCCCTGATCTTATGGAACTCAGAATCTAGTTGAGAAGATAATTCGCATAAAAATATTCTCTAAGGGGTGATGGGGCCATTTCCTAAGGAGAGTACTAACAGCCACTCTCCAGGGGCAAGCAAGAACAGTTAATGCTAACTTAGAAAGAGAGGAAGTAGATGGTCAAATTCTGCTACAACTTTTTAAAGGGTAGTGTATATTACAGATCTCCTGAAGCAAGCTTTAGACTCAAATCCAGTAAACAGCTGAGCACCTACTATGTGCCCATTTTGTGCCAGATGTTGCCACGTTTCCTCCATCTCCAAATAAAGACACAAGTGGGTACGCATTGAGATTACAGCAGTTCATTAATCCAGAACAAAGTAAGCCCTGCTTTACTTTGTGACAGTGTCAATGAGTGACATCTGCAGGCAGGTGTCACCTCAGCTTCCTGCCTCCCCACCTTCATCCTACTTCATGGATTCTCAGCTTAATGTGCCTATGAATTACTGAGCAGAGCTGTTTACCCAACATCACGCATACCACATTTGATGAGGGAATTATAGGACTTTCAAGGGCAATTTAACCATAATCAAATTTTGCTTTACATGTTGCCTTTGCAAACAACCTCCCACTGTTCCTTTTTCCCCCAGACCCACCCATCCAAGGAAGATGCACGGCCTCTGTAACCCAGCACAAGATGGGACATAATCAGTGCAAAGTAAGCAGCCAAGAGAACAGACGAACAGAAGGGAGAGACAGCGCCACAGCAGCCACCGAGGACTTGAGGACAGACGTGATGTGAACGGTGGAGAAGGGGAGGATGTGGCGGGGAAGGGATTTCTTTGGGGTAATGAAAATGTTCTGTAACCAGATAGAGGGTGGGCGCACAACACTGTAGTCAATGCCACTGAACTGTTCCCTTTAAACAGTTAATTTTACGTGATGTGGATTTCACCTCAATTGTTTAAAAAACTGTTTTGGTTGCAGAGGAGGCACACGGCATCCTGTACACTGTCTCCCAGCACGGGTTCTCACGGCTAGTCTCTGGGAAAGTAGTA